ATCTGGTTCGATCCTCGGTACCCACATACCATGCTGGTCCGCATGCCATGAAGGCGCACACTGTGACGCCAGGCGTGGTGGCACGAGCCTGTAACCCCAGCGTTGAGGAGGTTGAGACAGGTGGATCACTATGAGCCCAAGCTGTGTACTGAGACCCTGTACCAAATACAGGGTCTAATACTAATAGAGATTTTAAAAAATTAAGGAAAATTCAGGGAAATTGGTTTCTCGTGTGCAGCAGAGTCTTTATTGTCTTTCCGCTGACTTCAGAGGAAAGCATGGCCAGTTCTTTGAGAGTCCATTGACTCTGACCCATGTCTACCCCTGGCAGGGTGTAGTTCAGCTAAAAATCACTATTCTGAGCCAGCCCTGGATACTCACCCTCCCTTGCGACATAACCTCTGTGAGGTGTCTGGACAGAAAGCCTGAAAGGAATTCCTACTGAGAGACCGCCACGCCGCAAATCCCCTTCTCACCCTCATCACTGAGGCAGGCCCAGGCCCTGCGTGTTCTGGGAAATCTCATCTAACCCCAGGGAATGGATACTTGTACTCCAGTCCCATCCCACCAAGCAGCTACCAATGATGACAGGTGTGTGATTGGGTGCACATTCATGTGTAATGAGGAAGGGTGGGGAGTCTGCTGGAGGCCAGGGCTGGTTTCTGTGCCCTGGGGGGTTTGAAGCCTTTTCAGACATACAGAACATCTGTATAATTTTATGCTTCCAACTTGGGTTAAGCCAAGCGTAAATCAGAGCGGTTCTTTCTGATTGTGGAAATTTGGAGGACTGACTTCCTAGCTGTTGAATTGATAGTGTTTGAACATAACCTCAAAGAAAAGCTCCCCAGTCATGAAAACAGCAATGGTGCCTAAGGCCAGGCTCAGGGCCTTGTGAGGAGGACAGAGCTGATGAAGTCTGGGTGTGGGTAAGTGCTCAGGGGGAACTACCTCGTGGCATCCCTGTGCTGTGTGCCTTAGTTCATTTTCCAAACTACACAGAAAGCAGGCAACTTAGATGTCCCGGTTATTACTCGTGTCTTGAATTGAACAGCTGTAATTTTGACTCATGAGACTGTATAATTGAAGAAAGTTGAGGAAGATTAGCAAACAATAGTGCTGAACCCAGCCCTTAGCTCCGCCACTGGGCGGCCAGATAAACCAACATGGATTTGTGTTTTTCTAAGTCTCAGTTACCCTGCCTCAAAAAGCTCAAATATCACAGGATTTCTTTTAGGTGAGAAAAGCAAATAAAGCACATAATAGAAGAGCAGAATGGTGATAAATAGAGACAGGGAGAAGCTCTAATACTTCCCCCAATTGAAAACTCCTTTGTTTTAAACTTTTTTATTTTTTTTT